AGTCAGTGTGGTGGAGAGAAAGCTACCAGAAAGTAAACATAATAAGCAGTGTTGGAAGTGTAGCAGGGAAGTACTCTGGAGAATAGAGACGGAGAATGAGGTTGGGGGCAACTGGGATTTCTGAATAGGCTCTTAGGGGTGGACTTCATTGAGAAGGTGACCTCTGAACAAACATTGAAGGCGCCATACTGAGCCACATGACAGCCTTCCAGGAAGAGGGCCCATCAGGGCCTAGGCTTAAAACCTTTTAGCAGGAGCGGCCTGGCCTGGTTCAAGAATTATGCAAGCATGGGCCCGGCGCGGTGGCGCAAGTGGTTAAAGGTCCTCACCTTGCACACCCGGGATCCCATATGGGCGCCGGTTCTAATCCCGGCAGCCCCGCTTCCCTTCCAGCTCCCTGCCTGTGGCCTGGGAAAGCAGTCGAGGACAGCCCAAAGCTTTGGGAACCTGCACCCGCGTGGGAGACCCGGAAGAGGCTCCTGGCTTCGGATTGGCATAGTATCGGCCCGTTGCGCTCACTTGGGGAGTGAATCATCGGACGGAAGATATTCCTCTCTGTCTCTCCTCTCTGTATATCCGCCTTTCCAATGAAAAAATAATAAAAATAAATCTTTAAAAAAAAAAAAAAAGAATTATGCAAGCAGCACAGGTGCAGTGGGAGACCCTAACTCTTATTATAAGCCCCCAGTTGCTCTACTTGTATAGGTACTTTCTGCTAACGACCCCGGGAAAGCAGCAGATGATGGCCTGAGAACTAGGGCCCCTGACACCCACCCACACGGGAAACCAGGACGGAGTTCCACCTTTCTGACCCAGTTTGTTGAGACTGTTGTGGGAATAAACCAGCAGATGGAAGGTTTCTTTTTCTCTGTCTCATCCTCTGTCACTGTGTCTTGTGGATAAATACATCTTGAAAAAGAAACAAAAAAATACAAGGAAGGTAAAAAGTGAGTAGGAATGTGGGATGGGAAGGAGTCCAGATGAGCAAATCATCATCTAACCTGAGGGTGTTGGTTTTCATCCTGTCCTTAGCCAAAAATCCCTCTTAAAAGTATTTTCTACAGGTGTGGTTTGAAACTAGTGTTAGGAAAGTTGAATTCATTTGCAAGACAAAATATAAATCAAGAGCAAATTAGCATTGCTTTCATTTTTATCACACATTTTATTTCTTTGAAAGGCAGCGTGACAGAGGGAGAGGTAGACACACAGAAGAATCTTCAACCGTTGGTTCACTCTCCCATATGGGCGTCAGTTCCCATCCACTGACTCACTCTCCAGATGTCCACAGTGAGGGGCGGGCAAGGTCAAAGCGAGGCGCTGGGGATGCAACCCAGACCCCTGTGTGGGTGGAGGAACACGGTTACTCTGTGGGCCCTGGCCGGCTCTCCCAGAGCTTACACTGGCCAGTAGCTGGAGTCAGCAGCTGAAGCTAGGCATCAAACTTAGGCACTCTGATTCTGTCGGGACTGTAGGGCAGTGGCTACTCCGGGGATGACAGCATGGTGATGTCCAAAGCCCAGAAGAGGGCAAATAAGTCAGGCTGGCACATTCTGAGCTTCTGTTCACATTGTTAGCTTCCCGCTGGCAGTAACAAGTAAGACGAACCTGGGAGGTTGACTGTGTTCTCCATGAAGCCATAGCCAAGAGAAGGACAATGATATGTTACAGGGACTGAAGAAGTGGGCAAGTTATTCAGTGATTCTATGTCCCACAACTTCCTGAAGAATTGCATTTCTCTCCAAATTCTTACCCTTTCATTCAGGGACCATTTTTTATTTTTTTTTTAAAGATTTATTTTTATTATGTTTTTATTGGAAAGGCGGATATACAGAGAGGAGAAACAGAGAGGAAGATCTTCCGTCCGATGATTCACTCCCCAAGTGAGCGCAACGGCTGATGCTATGCCGATCCGAAGCCAGGAGCCTCTTCTGGGTCTCCCACGTGGGTGCAGGGTCCCAAAGCTTTGGGCCGTCCTCGACTGCCTTCCCGGGCCACAGGCAGGGAGCTGGAAGGGAAGCAGGGCTGCCGGGATTAGAACCGGCGCCCATATGGGATCCCGGGCGTGCAAGGCGAGGACCTTTAACCACTTGTGCCACCGCACTGGGCCCCAGGGACCATTTTTTAAAAAAAAAACATTTATTTATTTTGTATTGGAAAATCAGGTATTCAGAGAAAAGAGATAGAGAGGAAGATAGTCCATCCACTGATTCACTCCCCAAGCAGCCACAACGGCCAGAGCTGAATTGATCCAAAGCCAGGAGCCAGGAGCTTCCTCCACGTGTCCCCCACACGGGTGCAGGGTCCCAAAGCTTTGGGCCATCCTCGACTGCTTTCCCAGGCTACAAGCAGGGAGCTGGATGGGAAGTGGGGCTGCCAGGATTAGAACCGGTGCCCATATGGGATCCTGGTGTGTGCAAGGCATGGGCCCAGGGACCATCACTTTTTAAAAAGATATATTTATTTTTGTTTGAAAAGGAACTTGGCAGACTCACAGAGAGATCTTCCTTCTGCTGGTTCACTCCCTAAATGGCTGAAACAGCCAAAGTTGTGCCAGTCCAAAATCAGGAGAAGCCTGGAGCTGCATCTAGGTCTCCCAGGTGGGTGCAGGGGCCCAAAGACTTTTTCTGCTTTCCCAGGAACTTCAGCAGGAGCTGGATCTGAAGTGGCTCAGCCAGTACTCAAACTTCGCCCCTATGGAATGTCAGCACCACCAGCAGAGGCTTAGCCTACACTGCCATGGAGCTAGCCCAAGACCATCATTTTTTCCCTGAATAAGAAAGCTCACTGTGTTCTTACCACTACAATCCACATGCCCACCGTGCAGTATATGCTCAGTAAGAATATGTTGAATCTTCTTGACAACACTCAGCTTCTTCTGATGTTTTTTCCCATAGCAGCCAGGGTGAGCTTTTCGAGCCTAAAACCACACTTACTCAGGCCCGGCTTGAAACCCCCCAATGCGGCACTAGAGCTCCTGAGTGTGGGATTTGTAGAGATCATCCGTTGCCTAGCCTGGCTCTGCTCTGCAAGATCCACTGTTTCCGCCTCCCTTTTCAGTTGTTCTGAGTGTTTTTCAGCCATCAGACCTTAGTTCTTTCCACTCCTGGAACTGCAATGCTCTTTCACCAGCCCCAGACCTGCCGACACACTCTCAGTCTTCGGCAGAAGTTCCACCTCCTGAATGACCCTCCTAGCTCCTGTACTTGGACAGCCTGCCCCACTGCACTACATCACCATCACATTTGTGTTTCTCTTTATTTATTTCTCATCGCTCACTAAAATTACCATATTCATTGCAACCGTCTTTGATTGTGTCTGGCAACACATGGAGTGCGCAGAGTGAATAGACAAAAAACCATTTCCCCTACATTTTTAGAGAAATTCCTTCCTTTCTATTTCTCTGAGTCATCCTTCTAGAATGTAGTTTTATGCAAATCCAAGTAAAATTAGTTCAAGATGAGTGAAAAGGTTGAAATGTCCTCATTTTTATGGAAAGAAATTGGCAAGCCAGAGTTGCTTGGGCACCTGCTGGAGTATCCTTGTCCTTTGTGCCCCAGAGGCACAGAGTTGTGGGGGTGAGACGCTCAGAGTCCTGCCCTGGCTTTTACCTGCCCATTCTACAGTCACAGCACCAGGTTCACCCATGTCCTTACCCTGTAGTCACCCTCAGCTAATATACTCCAGAACTGACTTATCCTGTCATGCACGGGTGTGCACATCTCACCTCATCCTGCACTGTTGGATAAGGGTTCATGTGGGCAAGGAGGAGGTGTTGAACCAGCCGTGGATTGAGTCAATGTTTGAAAGGAAAGAAAACAAACCTGGGAAGGGCCTCAATTCCCACTCTCCAGGAGCGTCTTTACTTCTGACACCTTAGACAATAGGTCCACGAGTTGTGTAAGTGTTCATGGGTTTATTCATCCCCAGTGTCTCTCACATCCTCATGTGCTGATGAAGCCACTGTTAGCTGCGCCTGCCCATGGTTCGTATGGGAGACCATTTGCACACCCAGGGGCTGGGAGGTTCACTTCAGTTCCTCAGAGCAACCCAGAAATTTCTTCTTAAGAAATACAATGATCCTGTAGCCCTTGAACCTTTTTTTTTTTTACCCTAATTAGCTATGTAAAGATTGTCAAAAATATAATTAAAAAATGGAAAATTTTTTTAAAAAAGGAAATACAATGAACTGTGCTCATTTCCACCCCCTCCCTCTCGAAATAACTGCTAGAAAAAGAAATCATTCTGTTTGGTTCAAATAGCCATATTTCCAATATGCTATTTGGACATCGTTACACGTGACGCTTGTATTGTTCTCATTTAAAACATGAAGGGAAGGAATCAGTGCCTTAATTATTTAAAATACTTGGTGCAAATGTTCCTGTGAATTAATCCATGCACTTGGAAGACAATTACACTCAGTGTTAATAACAACGCCAACCTTTTCCAGAATGCTACGCTCCAAACACTATTGTGCTTTCATGGACAACATTGACTATTCCATATGCATATGAAAACCAGTCATTTTCATCAGAATTGCCATAATAGCATTAAGAGATTATTATTTTTCCAATTTCCTTGGAAGAAAATTCACTTAAATTAGATTATTTCTTGACTACTCACCTATCTTGCCTGCACGTGTAGGTAACCAGAGCCCATGAAAGTATCAACTTGTGCATTAAGAAAAAAAAACCCATGATTTTATACATTAATGATTTCAAATAAAAGAGGAGTGCAACATTTGTGCATCACTTCTTTCAAGAAAGTTAAGTCGGTGTTCTGCTTAGGAGAGATAACACTTTTTCTCCCTGTAGGTGGCCCCCCTGGCGTAGCCATTAGTTGCTAATTACTTGCAAACAAATAAACAATTAACTCCTTAAGCTGCTGGCTGGGCAAGTGTTCATTGACATGCTAAAACTTTCTAAGACAGGATTTTAATTAGTGACCACGTTCTAAATCCAGCCCCCTTGTCCACAAAGCTTTAACATGAACTGCAGGAAGATCCCAGCCCTGTACAAGTTGAGCAGGGACGAGAGAGGCCGGAGCTGAGGCTGTGCAGCCCAGGAGAGGATGTCTCCCAGTCTTCAGGAAGGGGCTCGGCTGGCGGAAGGCAAACCCTCATCCTGCTCCTTCTCAATTGAGAGCATCTTAGGACTGGACCAAAAGAAAGACGTCCTTCCAACAGTGGAGCCCCACAGGCCTTGGGCGGACACCTGCAGCTCCTTAGGTAAGTCCCAAAGCTCATTGTTATTTCATTGCTTGTGTTTAATTTGGCCTTGATTTCATACTACATAGACTGCATCCATGGGTTTGTCTTTTGAGTAACTGAAGTGTCTGGGACCTTTAATGCCTCCAGCCGGGCCATGTGGGAGATGGAAAGAAGTTTTTGATGCAAGTGTGTAGAAGTCACTGTTATTAACTGCCAACAATCTGTAGCTCTCTCAATGTCTATTGGACACCTTGGATGGCCTCACGCTGTTCTCACCAGAAAAAACAAACGACGTTCAGAAGCCACGTTGTTACTGATCACCAAGGCAGGTTCTTTCTGTTTTTTAACTTTTGATAGAGTAGGAAGACAACTGTGTCAAGAAAGCCGGATTAATGATTCCACTAAAAAATTGAAAGACAAGGTTCTAAAATCACTTCTAGAGCTTTCGGAAACATTGAATCGGCCATCTAAGATGGGGTTTATTTTTCTGGTCTTTAGGGAAGGATGCTAACTCACGGTTACATGTCCCAGATTTTCCCAATGGGCTATCATTCCCACGCGTGGTGGATCACCCAATGCCAGAAGAAAGAGTTTCGAAATATGAAAATTACTTTCCAACCTCAGAGAGAGTCGCTTTGAAAAGAGAGTTGAGTTGGTATAGAGGCCGAAGACCAAGGACTGCTTTTACTCAAAATCAGGTAGGAAAGAAGTTTTTAAATTAAATAATGATAATGAAAAGGTCTGGATTGATGCTCTGTGGGAAAAACCCATTCATTTTAGGATCACAGATAGAAACCTTATTGATGAATCCATAAGCTGTATCATTTTTGTACAGTCTCTGAATCATCCTTTTTTAACAGGTTTTCCAATTAACTGTCAAAGATTTGAATGCAATTATTTTGCTAGATAAGTTCAAAAAGCCTGTTTTTGGTGACCTCCTGGATATAAACCTTTTAACAACTTATTTCCTTATACTTAGATTGAAGTGCTGGAAAACGTCTTCAGAGTAAACTGCTACCCTGGTATTGATATCAGAGAGGATTTGGCTCAAAAGTTGGATCTTGAAGAAGACAGAATCCAGGTAGTTTTCCAACTGAATTTCTGCTTATGATGGTTGAAATGTGAAGAATAATATAACATTTTGAGTATTTCTGAGATCTTTTTTTTTTTCCTCTTCATTTTAGATTTGGTTCCAAAATCGACGTGCAAAGCTGAAAAGGTCCCACAGAGAAACGCAGTTTCTAAGGGCAAAAAAAAATTTCGACACGAACGTTTTGGAGCAGATGGAAAACTAAACCAGCGAAATTATCTTCCAAGAACACATCATGAAGAACCAATGAAGGGGAAAATCAGCTGTTTAAAATGTGCTTTCTCTTCCTGCATTTAATCTGTATATGTATTTTTTTCCTAAAACTATAGTATAAATAATTACTGTTATAGCATGGTACATATTATATTTGGGCACTTTTAGTCATAACACAGATATTTCCTATATATTTAAAATAAGCATATTCAGAAAAGCCAGCTATTTTTTAAGTGAGCACAGTTACTCCGATTAGAAAATAATTCCCCAAGATCGATAAACTTGTGACGAATGCATTCTACCAGTTGGATTCCATTCACAAACTATTTCAAGCAAAATACTCTGAAGAACAAAAGTGTGGTTTATTTGAACTAGTTTACTTCACGTGCATTGTGAAACATGATGTCGCTTAACTGTGTTACAGATGTGATTTATTTATCAATTTCAGGGTTTCATGATTTATGGCATAAGTAATAATAGTTAGCTCACCAAATATTAAAATATCCTGATAGCATGCCAATTTCAAGTTGTTGGGTTTTTAGGCCGAGTCACTATGTCAGAGACATAAAAACAGCAGCTGACATATTCACCATTGGCAGTATGTTGCACATAAATGCAAAATGCAGCAGCAAATAAATGCAAAATGTAAGTAGCTTTATGGTTCATTTATTTCATTAAAGTGATATTGGTTAGCTGGCTTATATCTGTTCCTGGTTTAATGAGTCCAGTCATCAGCATATTTTGTTACAATATTACCTGGGCAGAGAAAGTAGAATGGCTGGTCTTAATGGTATGTGTTTTGACACACAAGAGGACTTCAAAAAGCTCATGGAAAATGGAATTGAAATGCAAGTTATTTTGCTAAAAAAAAACACACTTTTTTCATTCATGCAGAGTTCTTTCATCATAGATATTTTTGTGAACTTTTTTGAAGATCTGTGACATTCAAGAATTTCAAAAAACGTGCCTTTCAATTCCATATTCTGTAAACTTTTTCAAATACCCTTGTTGTTATTGGTGATAATCGGGACATTTCCTAAGCCACAAGAAATGACTTGTTTTCATTCGCCATTTTCCCAATTTACTTACCACTTAAAGAAGGATCTAAGGATAAGATGCATGACAAAAAGGGAATTTTCTCCACTAAAAATTGGGTATTTGTTTTCCAGGTAATGGAAGTCTTAAGTGGGTGGGTTTTTCTGAAACTTTAGCTTGAGCACTGTGACTTTGTCCACTGTGTTTCAACTCTGTTTATATTGACACCCCCCCCCAACACACACACACACACCCCTCCCTTACCATTCCTTCCACACTCCACTTCTCTGGCTTTCTTGCTGTCATTTGGGAAGTGAATTAATAGATGAATGATCTCTGTCACTCTGCCTTTCAAATACATAATAAATTTTCACAAAGATCAGGGAGAGCTGTGTGTCATGGGATGCCCACACCCCACTTTGCAGTATCTGGGCTTGAGTCCCTGGCTCATCTGCTGAATCCAGCTTCTACAGATGTGCAACCTGTGAATCAGCGGGTGACGCCTCAAGTACTTTATTCTGAGCCACACATGTAGGAGACGGATATTGAGTTCTTTCAGCCAAGTTTACCTATAAAATCTAGTAAGATGACAAACATACTAGTTCTGGACTTTCTGTCTCAGTGCTTTCCAGCTGTAATTTTGTATGGCTGACTTAAATAGTCTTAAATTTAAACTTTGCTTACAATTGAAATAAATTCTATTTGTAACTAGTGTTGTATATTTGAAACTTTTAAATTATATAGTATAAATGATCCTTATAATGGGAACAAATAACGTTTAGAAGTCAAAAAAAGCAAGTAGTAACAATTTATAATATTAAGAAAGTAAATTTTAAATGTACTATACTTCTCCATTTATATTTTCTGATACTACTGACAGAATCTCGTAATACAGAAGACCATCCAAGAAGCAAAATTATAAACCGGATCATGTGTGTTTCCAAAAAATCCTTAAAAAAAAAAAAAAACCTCAAAGATGGAGGCTAATCTTGTGAAAGGAAATCATGAATTAGCAGTATTTTTAGAATTATAGTTGGATAATAATTTGAAGCAAATACAATGATATTTGGAGGAAAACAAACTGGACTTTAAGGAAAAATCAGACAAAATGAAAATGGCCATGAAAAACCAAAATGGAATTATCTTTCCCTCGAAACCCACAGGTTCTAATCCACAGCTTATCTCTCTGCTCCTGGTAATTCCAGGCCTTTGTCTTCGCTAATGCCCAGGACAAGGTGAACAGGAGTAACAAATCAAACTAATGCAGTCAAGCTAATACCTGGAGCGTCTCTATTATCTGCCCACTGCCTAAATAAGGTTATTTGTTCTCCGGTAATGGCATTCGTCTCCTGTGAAGCCAGCCTGACAAAGCCCATCACTACAGAGTGTGGGGGAAAACAATGTGTGTGCTGGTGGTCAGCCATCTGAGTTCGTTAGTGTGAATAGCTGCTTTCACCTGATCACACACCATACTCGTGGCAAAAACCCTCCTTTACTGAACCCCTCACACAGCATTGGCGGTCTGGGCCTTGTGTCTGCTTCTGCAGGTCGGGAGCCACGTGTTGGTTAATGGACATGATGTGGTACCCAAATCACAATGTGACAAACAGTGGCTGGCTGTCCCTATTCGTGTTCATGTTGACTGTCTTGTGTCTTGGAGCAGCTGAGGCAGGATTCACTGGCTCTTACCTCCTCCACCTCATCAGATGGACCACTTTCCCTTTTCTTTTGTTTCCGTCCACTGCCTTTTTCCTCCTGGTGCCTTGGCAAGACTGTTGGTGTCAGTGGGCATTACTGAACACCACAAACGAACCTCCAGCCTAAAAATGTTTGTTGTTAACCTTCTGGCTAATTGCTTACATTCTGTCTGGTGCAAAGTCACCAACAAACAGGATCTTAGCATCTGGTCTCTTCCTTCGGGACTCCTAGGATGGCCTAGTGCCTTGTCTCCTTTAACTGAAATTTTACAACAAGGTCATTTCAATGGAATAAATGACACCATATCTCATATCCATCATAAGCTTGCAAATAACCATGCACCTACTCAACCTGCTGTCCCTTTGGGCTAGCTCCAAAGTGAGAACCTGGAAGTCCACCTGAACTCAGCTCTTGTGCAGCCTAGAGCCAAGACCAGCCATTCCTGGCTACATTTGCCACCCCCAAGCTGATCCACAGATCTGTGATGAGTGAGTTGTCAATCGGAGTTTAATAATATATAAAAATCCTTAAGGCCCACACTATGTAACTAGTTCTTTATAAAGTTAACATTTAATTACCACATTTTGATCTCAAATTTTTCCTTTTTATGTATGTGAACAGCAGAAAAAGAGAGATCTTTCATCTGCTGGCTCCCCAAATAGAATAGCCAGAATTCAGTCAGGCCAAAACGAGGACACCAAAAGTCAACTGGTAACTCCTAGAAAGTCAGGACCTTGGCATTCTCCCACACGATGGAAGAGACCCAAGTGCCTGAGCTAGCACTTCTAGGGCTGAACATCGTGAACTTGGAATCAGGTATGGAGCCAGGATTTCAACCCAGAGATCCCAATATGGGATGTGGGAACCCCAAGGGGCATCTTAACCTCCTCACCAAGCATCTTAAAACTCGTCTTAGGATTTCATAATTTGGCAGGCAGATTTCCACATATTTTAGTCAGATTAGTCATTTCCTTTGTATTTTCCATTGCTTTATCTGATATCGTCTCAGTCTTGTGATCACCTAGTGTTTTGATAGTTTCTGATTCATTTACCTTTTTTGCACTTTTTGGCCCATCCATTTTCTTTTATGTAACAATCGTAATGACTAGAACAAGTCATTCAATAAATCATAAAATATGATGGCACTGATAATAAAAGCAATACCACCATTTGCTAAATATTTATTAGAGACTGAATATTCATGTCCCTGGTAGCCTCCCCAACTTGATATTTGAAAGTGGGGGGTTTTAGGAGGTTATTGGGTTATGAAGGTGAAAACCTTATTTTTTCTTTTGAGCGATATTAATGGGATTGGTATCCCTCCAAAAGGGAACCTCCCCGCAACGAGGGCTCCCTTTTCTCTTCTCCTATGTGAGAATACAACAGAAAATCAGCTGTACACCAGGAAGTAAGCCCTCAGCAGACACCACAGATGTCCATGTTTTAATTAAAATAATAATAATAATAGACACAAAGACAGAAGCATCCAATGGCACACTGACCAAATGCCCGTGACAGCCAAGATTGAGCAGCTGGAGCTAAAGCCAAAACTAAGAATCAGGATCTCAATCTAGATCTCGGCTGGGGACAGCGCAGACCCAGGTACTCAAGCCATCACTACCACTCCAGGAGGTCCACATGAGCAGGCAGTTGGAAGTCAGGAGCCAGAAGAAGGCTCTGAGCCCCGGCAATCAGATGTGGGACACAGAAGTCCCAGCCGCTAACCCAAACATCCTGCCTTGCCCATACTTCAAACTTGGACGCCTCAGCCTCAGAACTGGGAGAAATAAATATCAGTTGTTTATAAATCAACAGTTGCTTTGTCATGTTGGTGTCAATAGACTAAGGAAGTACTGCCAGGAGCTGTATATTGGCACTTCTCATCAAGTCTCCCATCTCACTTTCACAATATCTGCGAAGGTGATGGAGTCTTTCCCTCTGTCTCTCCTCCTCTCTGTATATCTGACTTTGTAATAAAAAATAAATAAATCTTTAAAAATTTCCATCAATAAATCTTTTTTAAATGAAAAAAAGAAATGATTAATACAATTGGCAAGCCTCAATCTAAGCTAACAAAGAAAAAAAAAAAGAAAATACAAATTTCTGATGTCAGGAATGAGAGGGAGGGAATATTGAGAATATTGAGGAATAAGAGAGCAGGGAATATTGTAAGCAACTCTACATACATAAATTCAGTAGCTCATAAGAAAATGATTGGGGTTGAGGAGGAAGCTTACTTGGGGAGGGAGCTCGGAAATCCCGGCGCCTATGGAACTGTATCATAAAACAATAATACAAAATAA